CCAGGCCTGGCCCCTGCCCTTCACCCTCACACGGGGAGGGAAGTGAGCAGGGCAGGTCTGTGCAGCAGCAGGGCTCTTCAGATGGCCCGGGTGAAAGTATCTGCCAACCCTATAATCTCTTCTTTCCCGTACGTTGGCTTAAAAATAAAGCCAAAAGAACTGATGCAAGATTGCAAAGGTTTTTTTCAAACAGTTTACAGCATATAGAGGAAGCCACACAGAATGCCTCTCAAAACTATATAGTTTTATTTTACTCTAGATATGTTATACTCTGATATATAAAATATATTTATAAATTTCTTTCATTTTTCTGAATTTACAATAGCTTACTGATATTAAAAAGGCTATTCAAATTAAAGGTTTAGCCAATGTTGATGGCATTCTGTAAATGTAGAAGGGGAAAAAAGATCAAAGCACATCAAGTCTTGACCATGCAAGCTTGCTCAATGAGCTGTCACATATGCAAGCATTTGTAAAGTTACAGCATATTTTAGGAAAATTTAGATTCCTTCTGTCTCTCTCCCTTGTTGAATGCCTATTACTTTGTGGGCTGAGGCTCTGAAACTTTCCATGGATTCTGACATGCCTGTTTTTCACTTTGCCTAGGTTTGTTCAAAGTGTCAGTGATCTCTTTATGCCTGGCACTTCTTTTTTCTCATTTATTTCACCAGTCCAAAACCAGTAGAACTATAATGAAGGAATCTGACTTCTAGCCTAGGTAAGGTTTGAATAGTAGATAATACTGTATTGCATGTCCACCAGTTTTTTGACAACGTGCAGTGCATTTTGTCTTATCGTTTTTGTCTGTGAATACTTGGCATATTATAAACATTTATTACATAAATTCACTGTACAGACTGCTAAGCTGACAACACTGGTGACCAGAATTCACATTTTTTCAACTGTGCAGGTTATTCATGCGAAATAACTAATATGTCTCATTTTGCAGATGCATGTTTGGGCAAAAGAGATCTACAACCAATTTACGTTTTGCTCCATTTCTCACTGGCTCCAACAGACAATGTCTGCCAGTAATTGTATCAGTTATTTCTACCATGGTGGCTTTTATGTCCTGGAGGCCCATGCTCTGTGGATGTTCCTAGGATCACCTGGTTGCTCTGTTGGTGTTGTCAGGGTCCTTCTTTTCAGGCCCAGGTTTTCTAAATTTGGCTTATTAGCCTAACTCCATATGCTGAGGTTTCAGATGAGTTAAGTGTCTTCAGCTGGAGGTAGCAGATATTCAGATCTTGTGAAGTTTTACATCTACATATTTCAAATATGACATTGAATACTGAGCTGTTTTCAGAGCTACTGGGCAAGTTTGAAAAGCCTGGCCATGGTAAGAGAGTGCAGACTGAGACAACAGTTTTTTCACTGATTCTTGGAACCTTTTTCTCTAGTTTGTGCTGTGGGGTTTAGACTAGAGAAGAAAATGTGAAAATCCAAACACCCAGCTTCCCTGTGAAAACTGTGCAAATTTAGCTTTTTAATTCTTGAGAGGATTCTAAAACATGTCTGCAAAAACTGTTACTACAGATGTCTGTTATTAATTAAACGCTTGAAGCAAACATGAAATCCACAACACAAAGTGATTTCTGAGGATGGGATTTTAAAAGGGCTCTGCTTTTGGTCTAGCCTGTTCCAAATAATATGAACAACTCAGATTTGAGTTTGGCAGACGCAAAGTACTTTTAAAATATTCCATAGAAGATACCAATCAGTAGTTTGAAAATACCCTATGTGTGGGCCTTCTGCATGCATTCTGTAAACCCATGCTCAGGTAGCATTACTGCATGCATTGGGTTAATGCTTCAGAGTAGTTATTGGTTAATGTAGCTGCATGCAATAGTCACATGAGGTTTTGTGTCATTTGAACCTCCCCCTCAATATTTTTACAAGTGCTATGATTTATCAGATCATAAGAAAATACCATTAGATACAGGTGTGTATATCTGTGTACCTAAAGATCAAATCACTTCTTCAAGACTATCCCCACAAAGTTTCTGTGGTCATTACAGTTTAATGGGATCAGTCAGAAATGAGCCTTTTGCCTTCATTACAAAGCCTCACTCCATAAATAATCCCCATGATTCCAGTGCCTGTTCAGCACGTGCAATGGTACCAGAGCCAGCCCTTGCCTGGTCACTGAATACCTACACGTGAGCTGATCGTGCAAAGTGCTGAGCTCTCCTGTGAAGACTCCAGGGTTCCAGTGCTCAGCAGCTTTATGGATCAGGCTTCTAGGTCACAAATATTCTTAAAGCTTTGCAGAGAAAAAGGACAAGGACAGTCCTAAGCTGGGGGTTAGGAAAATGTTTTTTTAATTGCATGAAATAGAAAATAGAAAAAAGACTCAAAAACTTGGAATCAGTTACCTGGCAGTGATAAATCACCTCTGGAAAAAGAGGGGAGTAAGAAGAACAAGAAACAGAGGTGGGAGAGATGGTGATACACCATTGCAGCACTCTGATTTGGCCTCACCCCATAGATGCTGTGCAGTTGTTATCCTGAAATGTCTGAGTCTCTTCTCTGCTGAAGTGGCTAGTCTGTGTGTGAAACTGCTTCCTTAGACCTGGGCAACCTTGTGCTTGTGTGTTACCTTCCTCTCCAGGTGAGTGGTGACCTCACCCATGCCGTCTGTGGAACAGCACCACTCCCCTGCTCCCACACGGTGCCACCACATGCAATGACTATTATTTCCCATCTTCCTTCCTTGCACACCTGGGTGTCACGGATGGCAGGAGGTTTTGACTTGGTCGAGCTCACAGGGAGCACTGAGAAGAGGACCCAGATTTGCTGTCTCTCACTCTCAGACTCAATCTGCTACTGTTTAGCACCCGCCTTATTTATCCCACCTCATGCTTGGTTAGAAGTACAAGTAGATGAATTCTCTGTTCAGGTTGTTAATATGCTTCAGCCTCCACACTTTTCCTCTTACTGTTTCAGGCAAATATACATGCTTGCCCCTGAATATTTAAGGAATGCTGTGAGGGGGTCAGATCAAAGCTGTGTCTTATCCTGTCTGCTGCACTGACAGTGCTTGGCAGTGGGGGCTAAAGGAGAACGGTAAACGCCAGGATACTAAAGATATCCCCAGAAGTCCCAGGAGCTGCTGAGTCTGACCTGTTAGAGAGAGGTGAGCTCAGTCTCCAGCTGCTTTCCCACACTGACCAGGACAGAGCCGAGTGAGATGTGCCACTGGCCCCTAGAAGTCTACCTGCTTTATCCTTCCCCTCTCGCAGTGTCTCGGTCAGTGGTACGTGGTTAACTTGCCATAGGCTGTCTACAAGAGGAGAGAACAGCTGGGATAATCTCCAAGGGTGTGCACCATCTCTTTGGACAGGCTTTGAAGCCCATGTTCTGTGCAGCAGAACTGCAGTGCTCTTGATGGACCCAGGGGCCTGAGCCTCCCCTCGGGAGGGAGATTTCAGCCCCCGTGATTTGTCTCAAGGTTACACAGACAGCTCATACCACTCCCATGGGTGGGGACATGCATCAGCAGATGAATGTTTTTTGGAGCAGTGCATCTCAGGATAAACTAAAAGCTACTTCCTACTTAGTCTGTTCTTTTTGGAGAGGCTTGGAGTTGCATTTTTTCTTAACAACTGCTGTGTTACTCGTCCACAGGCTGAAGATGATGTCTGGTGAACTGCCATGGGTATCAAATGCCCTTTGTCATTCTGACTCTGAGAAATCAAGTACTTATTTTTTTTTAATTTGCAGATATAAAAATATCTGTTTTTTTAATTTAAAGATATAAAAATAAAGTTTCTGAACAGCTAATTCCTCTGGGTAAGCACTGATTATCCTACACCACAGCACAGAGGATATTCTAGAGGAACTTGTATGATGGCAGGGCATCAAGCAAAATCTAAGCACATATGCCTTTGCTTTACAGCCTCTTCTCAAAGCTGCCTCCCTTCTCTCTTATCACTTCCCAGATTCAATTGCACTGCACCTTCTGCTCTGCCTTATCAATAAAGAGCTGTCATCACACATCGCTGTCAAAGCAAAAGAGCAAACTGTTGTCAGCAGATATGAATACAGCAGCCCACTTAGCTAAAGTGACATTCCCAGTCAGTCCCATACCCCATCCTTAGAGAAAGCTGCAGGAATCAGTTATGAAACGACAGATAAACAGGAATATAGATGTAGACAATGAATTAATAAAACACTCCTGAAAAATTTCTGTAGCTGTTTCAGCATGTCTGATCTGTGGGGGAGAGTGAGGGGTTTTTTAATGACTATCAATACTTTGTATTTAACAAACTATAGATGGTGATTAGATGCAGTGATTACACTGTCTTACATGGAATTTTCCTTTAAGTGGTTGCTGAAAATAACAGACAGCTGCAAGAAACTTAAGGTTTGTACTGGTGAAACTGTCCAACTCCCACAGAGCTTCTTTCTCTGTGATCTGTGCAGTTGGATTTCTTTTTTATCTGGCTGAGCTGGATTTTTCTTTTAGTGTTGTTTATAAGAAATGTGCCATTTGTCCCACTTTACCACATTCCAGAAGCTATTCTGCGCATTGAATTCCTGACCACAAGTCAACACAGTAGCCATCTAATTACACTTTTTCTCTCTCGCTATTTTGGAAAAACATTAAAAATATCAGCAACTGAAAATCACCTCCTAAAAATTTCTATTCCTTCTTTGATTGATGCATTCACCCTGAGCTAAATGTGTTTGATTGTAGCCAATCAATCCATTCATCATGTGGAAATGTACTGCCCCAACACTGTTCCCCATTCATCCAATCAGGGAAAATTAAGATGGTGTGTTTATATACACATTTGTAAGTAGCTACACATACTGGTGTTATATAAGGATTTACTCTGCTCTCATGGAGGTCACAGAGACTCTTGCTACTGTTTACCATAATAGCAGGATCAAGTCTTGGTCTCAATCCTACAAGCACTATATAGACCAATTTCTTCAGGGAAAGTTTTCCCTTGAGCATGATCTGCAGGCAGTAACTCCTATGAAGATTTTTCTTTATTTGCAATAAAGATCTGTGGCTTTTTATGTTCTGAAATGACATCATTTGCATACAACATGTATGTGCATGCACATGCATGTATATGTATAGTACCTGATGGATGCATAATAGAATAATCTTTCTAGTTGTTAATGCAGTTTATACTGTATTTGCATCTTTCTAAACATAAGAATATTGAAAACCCTCTCACTACATTTCAGGAAATGATAGTTGGTCCTCTACACCAACAAGGCCATCCTGTACATTCTGTTGTTGGTAACTAAAATGAAAGCATAGCACTATTTTACAAAAAGAAAGATTAAAGTGCATAAGTACACAGATAGGTGCAGACCCTGCCATGAGCTCCTTTGAAGCAGACAGACTCTGTCCGAGATCAAGGACAGCTGGTTTGAACAGTAACAATTCTAGTGCAAATTGCCCCTTCTGCTGGCAACACTCGGCCTCCCCACTGGTACCCGACCTCACCCCATAGACCTCCATGGACAATGTTCCTCCTGACATTGGACATGGTTTATGAGCCTGCAGAACTGGGCTCAAATGAATCGAGGTACCTTTGGAAGCAAAAACTGGTTGCCAGCTAATAGATATGTCCAAAACAAAACACATCCATTTTACATGCATCTACTTTCAGAGCTGTGTTAAAAACGGACCTTGAGAAGAATTTTCATCAAAGAAATCAAAGGATAGGGAATCCCCATTGTGGGGCAAAGTGGGGTCAGCATAGTGCAACGAGCTACTAAGCAGGTTCCTTGGATGCACTGCTTGCCGTTCTAATGTGCAATAGCCATTTATCTAGGTTTGTTCTTAGTATACATTTTTTTGTAAAGCTGTGTATATATAGAAAGATATAGCTTGCATGGGATGAAGATTCTTCAGAAATTCCTATTTCATCTAATTCAGGGCTTTGTCAGATTACCACAGCTCATTTCAATCATTTGAATTTGAATTTATTTACAGTATTTTTGTGCTTTTGAACTTTTCGAATAATGTCTGAAATAATTCCCCTATTGATCTACAGTCATGATCTATTGGAAAATGTGGTCATTTTGGGATGAGTAATAAAAAAGTTCTGTTTCCTAATACAATTTAGTCAATTTGTGGATACTTTTTATTACGGCTCTAGATTAAAAGCTCTTAAGAGAATGTCTAGATCACCCACGTTGGCAGCTTGAAATAATTCTGGCTGGTCCATCATAGACAGAGCAATCCGAAGTGCAGCCCAAATATTGCCTGATAGAGCAGGGTGGGGAACTTGTTGTTGATTCCTGCTTTTTCTTTGCAAACTGAGAGCAGTGAGAAAATTGCTGACAGCCTCTCTGTAGAGAAGAGGGAAAAAAGACAGAATAGAGTAAAACTTTCTAAAGTTCCATGCCAGACTCGAATGCATTATTTTACCATGCAGTTCATCAGTCTTTTCATGTTGTTCTTGTTTTATTTTCATTAAACAGGTGGGGATGGCTTGTAGTAATGCAGAGCTGAGTCTATTCATACATCTGGGAGTACTGTCTTCATTGCAGCCTAGCTCCCCGTCATCTTACCTGTCTTAACCTGACAGCTGGAATACCATCCTTCAGTCCTGAAGGATATACTGCAAGTGTTTTTGATGACATTAACTACTGAAGCAGTTTAACATGAAATTTCCCTTCCGACAACGGGTTCTTATATTTTCTTTTACATATGCTCTTAAGCACAGGACTAAGTTTAAGTGCAAGAACAATCTCACTGATTATAATAGTACTTTCACTTAAAGCTAAAAAAATGCTTAAGCAGCTTGGTAGTTTTATTATGTAGAATTTGTGGCTATAAGACAAGTACTATTGCTTTGCAAGTACTTCATAAAAACTAATGACAAAATTTTACAACAGCTGAGATTGTGTAGCTATATTCTGATTACTTTTTTTCCTTAGATAGCTCCAGCCAGAAGACGAATCTTCACTTGGTAGTTATGATCCCTGACTTTCTGTGTACACATTTTTTTAACTTACCTGTATGCCCCTAGGTTGATGCAGCTTATCCCTAAATTGTATCTGGACCTAATGAAGCCAGGCTGTATTTCCAGAGCGCGTGTGTAGGCCTCGACAGCTTCTTCGCTGCGATCCCCATTTGCCAAGGTCGCTCCAAGACGGTTCCATAACGTATAGTCCTGGTGAGAAAATGAGTTTTTTCTACTGTACGTGTCAAAAAGGGACAGAATAGCTCATTTTTGCTTGCAAAGTTAGGAGGACTGCAGAAAATAACAGTGTTGTATCTTAATTGACACAGAATGTGAGGTTCTGACTCGTGGTCACAGGCAAATTTATATAACTATTACAATTAATCAGAAATTGGACATGTATAAATCTGCTTCTAAATGGGGCTGTCCTGTAATTAACGTTTCTATTTCAGGTATTGAAATTTTAATGGCGGAAGTGACATCTCATTAATAACAGCCTGATCGAGACAGGAGAAGGAAAATGGCCTGTAGAGCTAAATTTTTTAAAATGTAGAAGTAAAAAATGTACCTCTGGTCGAACAGTTAAAGCAGCACTAAATGCATCTATTGCTCTGTTAAATTCTCCATTCAGGTGAAAAAGAACTCCAAGTCCTGTTTGCAGGTCAGGGTCTATCATATCACCATTCTGGTGAGCAGCCTCCAGGTACAAGTCCTTTACTTCTTCGAGTAATGAGCTAGACAAGGATGAAAAAATAAAGATCCATCATACAGTTATTTACAAATATTTCAATATTGATTGCATAGCTGGAAATTAAAATCCTTGTAGTGGCTTTGTCAGGAGTGATATATTCCTAAAATTTGTAAATAAGCTTCTTCATCACGGCAAAGATCTACTTCAAGGTGGTGATGTAAACTCATGACTGGAATAAAAATTTCATCTATAAAATGAAGTACAACCATGAGCCCAAGTGAGATGACACGAAGGGTTATTAAAACTGTTCAGATTAGATGAGTTTCTCAGACATAAAAGAATTCCTTACTGGCAAAAACAGTAGTATTCTTAAGAGGAATAGATAAGTGACTAGCCAAGACCTTTGAAGAAAGATGCCAAAATATAAGGCTTCTGTACCCACTTCATAAAAAAAGGCTTCATAAAACCTTTGCACTGACAGCACCAGATGTCAGCGGGATGAAGCTGAAGTAGAATAACACACTTAGCAATTAAGCAGAACTTGCATATTTTATTTTTGTTCATGCTCAATTATCTTGTCAACCCAGGACTTGTAAGTGATAAGGGTAAAACATAAGGCCTGTCTTCAAAATGACAAGCAGTGAGATAGCCCAAGTGTTTTAGTTCTGCAAATCATGTTTATGCCTTTAATGACTTTATCATGCATCTCACTGTGCAGAGGTACTTGTTTATTGACCTCATGAAATCATGACGAAGGGCTGCCAACTCATAAATTATTATGTTATTTAAAATGGATGCCAGCTGAAGACAAATAAAATGACTATGCTGCCTCTTTGGTTAGAACCAGAACGGCTTTCAAACAAGCAGATGCCACCTCCCAGTATTTTCAGAGAACTGAAGCCGTGCCACACTGCAAAATGGCTCATTCCTCAATCCTAGTGGCTGGGTTGGGATATAGGAGAAACTATGAAAGCAGGAAGAACATACACATGTAGAGGAGGATGAAGGCCTGGTATGGATGTGGAAGCAGCTGAAGAATGAGGGTGCAGGATGTGGGATTACAGAGGCAGGAGGCAGGGTCAGAGGAAAGTGATGGGAGCTGAGGAGAAGCATATTTTTTTAGCTGTTTTATTATTTATTTTTAACTTCCAGAGATGGCATAAGAAATAAAGCCTTCAGTCCCTAAACCAAATGTCCTATGTTGTCTTCCCACTCCTGCCACTAGAGACACTGAGTATTCCATTACAAGGAACAGGCTGGGTTTATACAGAGCAAGGAGGCACAGCATGTACCATCAGTTCCAGTGATGTTGCAATTTCCACCATCAGGATTTACACTGCATTTACCTTTCATCTGCTGTCTTAGACATCCTCCTGTTAAGCGCTGGCGACCCTTTTTTGCTTCTCACTATATACTTGTATTTTGGATTTTGCTTTATCCAGTTTCTCAGAGCTTGATAGGCTTCCTGTTGATGGCCAGTATTGGTATAACTTACAGCCAGGGCCATCAGAGCTTTTAGATTGTTTGGCTGTAGTTCCAAGCACCTAGGCAGAAAATAAAGATATATTGAAACATTTTTTAGCCAAAGACAATTCTTGAATTCTTCCAAAATAATCCGTGTAAAGAAAACCACTCACACAAGTAAGATCTACCCAATAATACTTGTGAAAAGGGACATTGTCTTTTGTATGATAAGTGGATTATGCACGTGTATACACACATATGCCACACATTGCTGTGCATACACATATATGTACATAAAACTACACATAAAAGTTTTGTTTTCATCCTTCTTACTATGAGGAATTGTAGGTAGATTCATTTGTGTAATATCTGTCTAATAAACAAAGAGCAGCTTTGCATAATTTCAAGCAAACAGTTTAATACAGTTTTCAGCTCTACAAAAAAGTATGTTGAAGCCAAAATTTCTTCCATCTCTATGAATCTTCACAGTCATCCTGATTTTTCAGTTGTTTTCTTTGACAAAGCTGAAGACAATCACCTCAAGCATTCTTTCTCTGGTTGTGTACTACTAACTGAAAACAGAATCTCATCTATTTCGTGAACATTGCTGTTGCTTGTTTGAAAACTGGGAATGGGCAAGCCCTAAATCAGGCAACCCCTCGCATTTCTATCCAGGTAAGCTCATAAGTTACATATAAAGAAGTTGGAGTATCCTTAGATGAAATAACTTCATGGTTAACTGATGCAATTGGATATTGCTTCAAATGGAAACATAAAAGCCCATTACACAAAGATAATAATAATGCTGAGATTTTGGAACTCACATTTTACATGCAAGCATTCTGTGATATTCACATCTCTATCAACCTAAAAATGTTGTCAGTCTAGCATTCAGCAGCTGAAGGGAGCTGTCTCCAATTAAGAAAACCTCTTCATTAAAGGACAGACTACAGAAAACATGCTAAGTGGCTAGAATATCAAAAAGGCACTTCATTTGCATTATGCCTAATTCAAGTTTATCAGGCCATGTAACTTTTCTTAACTACTTAAATTACTAGGTTAAATATCGCACTTATTTAATAAAACAGAAATATTAATCACCCTCTGAAGTCACTTGGAAAGTTTTTATATCTATGTGAATGCTTTACTGAGCTCAATAAATGCTTCACATTCCAAGATAAGAATGACATTAAATATTCCCAGGTCTCTATTACCAAGTACTCATCAGACCCTTGATTTAGCACTGAACTTCATTTACCTTTGGAGGGCGACAATTGCTGCCTGCTCATTTTCATTCTCTGCCTGTGTTATACCCAGGAATTGCCAGGCCTGCAAAAATAATAATAATTTTCTTAGTTTGTTATATATACCCAATTGCAGAGTTACAACTAATATCATTGTTAAACACAGGGGTGATAAAAGCAGCAGATCTATCAGGCACTAACTACAGATTTTTCTACAGGGTGATACCAACAGTGCCAATCAATACAGTTCTGAATATCTTTGGGCCTGATAAATGTTTATAGTCAATGAATGCAAGGCTATTCTGTCAGTGTATGATCACATGCTGCTTTCTTAGATTTGAGCTACTGTACATTTTAATGTTGGTAGAATTTTATGGAAAATGATGAAGAAGAATTATTAAGTTGTATAGATTTAAGGGGTTCTAGAGGGTTTGGGGATTCTCTGCTTTTTGAAATACTACTGCTTAATTTAATGCAGCAGTACATTCAAAGAGCCCTAGATACTTACACTGTAAATATTTTTCACAAAAAAACAGACTTTACCACTATACTTGTTGAAAACAGCAATATTAAGAAAATTTATATAACTTTAAAAAAAAAATTTCAACACTTATTAAATCAAAACTGTTGTCTTTACAATAGCAGTGTTTACAAGATACTTCGAAAGCATCGGGATATGAAGGAAAGGTTTGAAGCATTTCAAACAATAATATTACAAAAACAGTGTCTCATCCTGTGAAGGACTCACTGTTGTCTGTTTAAAGTCATATACTAATTCAAAACTCTTAGAATTTAATCTGTTTCAGTCAATCATGACTAGTAAAAGTTTGAGCCCCCAAATCCTTCCATCACTGCATGCTAAAGGGAGTCCCCATTCCCTTTGTCAGTAAAAGTCTGATGAGTGAATACCTCTGCATCGTTGGGTTCTTGTAGAATAGCAGCCTCCAGGTATAAGATTGTAACAGGAAGGTCACCTTCTTTCATTTTTTTCAGTCCTTCCTCAAAAGCACCAGGCCAATCTTTGAAGGGATTGTCAGTATGGAAATAATAACCCTGGAGAAGAGAGATAATGGACCCGTGATGAAGCACTGTAGCAGGGAATGAAAACTCCAAAAAATTAAATAACTCACTATTTTCCAGCTGGATGTAAACACCCTTTGTTCTGTTAAAATGGTATGAACTCCCTCATGGAATTTCAATTATAGAAAGGGTAAAAAGGTAAAATGTCACCAGACATTTATGTTTCTGCCCTCTTTACTTTTACCTTAGCTCTGAAGTGATACTTACTGGTATTAATGGTGGGCTCTCCTACTCCCATCAAAGATAATGGCAACAACTCACACTGCCTGCAGTAGCAGCAGAGCTGAACCTATCATGAGCCCAGATATCCAACTGAATTGTAAAGAGCACACATCAAGCAGCTGACTCCCTGCAGTGCTTGTAACCTCATGTCTGCTCAGCTAAAATCCTGAAATCTTCAATTAACCTTCCAGATACAGAACAATGTTGCAAGCACCTGAGTTTATTTTAGAATTCCTTTAAATTTTGCCTTTTTCTCTTCTTGTCACTCCAGTGTAAAGGGTGTATGCTAATATCAGCTGCATAACAGAAATCAAATGAAAAGGTGAAATGGAAGGAATGAAGAAGAGAGACAGAATCTCTGTCATTTCTATCCTCAACAGTGTTTGAATGTTGCTGCCCAGATATTTTTATTTGGTGCTCTTCCTTAGGTGCCTGTCTTCAAAACTGCCCATAATCCAGCAGTTTGCTTTGTGAACTTTTCAGCACAATTCAGGCAGTGTGCAATTCTAAATGTATTCTCACTATGGCAAGGTCTTTTAAATCTATCCCACTCGTAGACAATTAAAGAAGATGAACTCTTCTGGGTAAAGTTAACTTCCACATCCAATGAACTTCCTTGGGATCCTTTGAATAGCTGAGTCTCATCTCAGTGTTGCACAGGAGGGATGGGAAAACTTGGTGTTACCTTCTCAATGGTTGAGATGGTGACTTGCCCTGGAGTTTCCTGGTTGTCTGAAATCCAGTTTCTGCGAGCCATTTCTTCCCATTCTGCCTGCATTTTGTCCCAAAACTCCGTGTCTGACTAGAGGAAAAGGAGAAAAACAGAAAATGAACAACAAAATCTTTGAAACAAACTGGTAAGCTTTTAATTTCTTTCTACCAGTGGTCTGTCAATTTTGCTGAATGGTATTAATTCTATTAATAATCACACTGACTGAAATGCTACAGCTCCTGTTTGGAATTTCATACAATTAAATTTCATCTCTTATATTGGAATGCATTTTGTCAACAGAAAACTTTTTATCTCAGAGGCAGCATATGTCATATTTGAAGCAGGATTTGCAGCAGCTTACACTGCATCTTATTGATGTTAACAGCAAATGATTACAGAAAATTTGAAGGAAATGAATGTTGCAAGTCTCTGACCAAAGAAAAGGAAGAAAAAAAAAGAAAAATCAACTAAGTGCATATGCTAAAGAATAACAACAGATAAAACAGTTTAAAAGAGAACGAACATCTCACTTTTTTATATTCAGCATTATTTTCAGCTTTGTGAAAGGGAAATGTCAAAGCTCAGTATATATATATGTTTATATTAAATTTTTACTTCTATTTTTCCCACAGAAATTCCCTATGAATCAGTGGTTTGGAAACATATCAAATCATATTTCTGCAGATAGTAAGCAAGCATATAAGTGGGTTTAGGTCTTAAATTCTGCTGTTTAATTACATATTTTTAATTCCCACAGATGTTCACTGTGTTTATACTCCACGTAAAAAGTCAATGAATTGTTGTGCATTCAAGTAGCTGTGTTGGATGTCCATCTACAGTGAGTCAAAAGGAGAGGGAAAATGCAAAGAGCACATCCAGCATGGGGAGTTTCTGAAACTGGTGTGGCAAAGCTGCACTGGGCAACTGGATCAGACACCACTCTGGCACCTGATAAAATGCTGTAATTGTGCTGTGACAAATCCCAGTGTCAGTAGCAGAGGAGTTTAATGTCCTTGAGGAAGAGGAGCGTAACCATCACACAGCCTTTGGCGAAGGCCTAAGTCTGTTCCAGCTGCCGTTAGTAGCAATTTTTTCATTGACTTCAGTGGCAGGAAGGTTAAATTAATATTGAGCATTCCTGAAGATCTGGCTTTGCACCAAGACTCCTAGGCCTAATTTTAACTCTGCTACATCACTGGTACCAATTAACCTCATTTCAGTGTTTTTTGCTGCCTTAATGCTGGTGAATTACTTTGGATGTACCAAATGTTTTCAGACCAGTTGAACACATTCAACACATTCTCAGATCATCTGCAGCAGTTAAGTGGAATGACAACCAGGAAAAATGTTCATACCATCTGACTACTTCCAAGCAGAAAATTCTGCATATTGTCAAAGAGGCTATTTTTACTCTTAGTATTTAAAAATATGCTGAAGCACTTAAACAAATGGGAGGCAAAATATTTCCAGGCTCTCTACTTCCTATTATACAGTGAAAGGAGGAGAGGGGTGCACTTTTTCAATATTGCTGGCTAAATTATAAATTTACCTGTTTTCATGACTTTTAGAATTTTGCCTGTCCTGTAGTGTCAAAAAATAATTTGCAATATTCCTCTTAGACCAACGCATAACAAAGTAAGTTTCTGTCATTTTTCTATGAATTACTGCATCAACATACTCTCTGATGTGAAAGACACGGTTAAACTCATGTGCTTTTAACCAGGTAAGATTTCCTTAGCTGATACCTTCTCAAAATGAAACTTGAAAGTTTTAATAAAATGTAGAGACAAAAAGTTATATAAAAAATTGATATACCAAGGCAAAGATTCCCATCATGATTTGAGAGAGTGACAAATAAAATGCATCTTGATGACTCAAGTTCTTAGTTCCCAGGCACATCTGAAGTGATGTCTAAATAGTGAGACAGGAACACTGTAGGTACAGAAAGGACTGATACTCATGGGAACCACAAAGCTGATGATTCTAGACTATCTGTTCCTAGGCTAGAAGAAATTAATCCCATCTTTTCCTGCTATTGTCACATAATTTATCTGTAATATATTCTGATGCTTTACAACAGTACATTATACAGCAGATGGTTCAAGTGACATTGTGTTGTAAATAAAGTGATGCTGAGAAGGACAGCTCAAAATTTCTTATGCATAAGCTCATGAAACAGTGTGGCATCTGCAATTTAATCAGGGAAATGTGGAATAAGAAAATAACAAAACTGCTTTTTTTTTCCATCTCTGAGACATTTCTCAGTTGGATGTCTTTGCATTTTCTTGGTTTTATTTCTATTTATCCTAATCTATCACCACCAGAATGGCAGATGATAAAAAAGTTGTTTTAACAGAATATAGGTACAGGATGGACCTGAATCCCCAGGTTAGCATTTTTTAAAAATTCAAAAGTACCAATTTGTGGTAAAAAAGAGCTAATTATTAGGAAAATTACATTAAAACATAGTTCTTACTGCAATTGGGAATCATGAAGATAAAAAAACATGAGGCAAAACCCAAATCCAATTTCCAGAAGAATAGAAAAGGTAGTGAGGTCTGCAAGAACCCGATCACTGTGAGGGAATATGGACCCTCTCTAGTAAAAAAGCTATTTTACTTACTGCTTTATTCTTAAAAGATTCCCCAATGGCAGACATTGTTAAAACTTCTTAAGAAAGAATTACCTCACAAATCTTCATTAATCTCAAAGTCTGACATCTTAAAACCATTCCCAAAGCTCTAAAGTGAATACTGGGTGGAGTATAAAGTTTGGTGTCTTCATTTACTGAATTGTTAATTAATTCCTTTTGAACTAGGCCACAAAGAACCTGAGATTTGCTTCCTTTTCTTGATCAGTTTTCTGGCTAATCTTACCACTTGCAGCTTTCCCTATTGAAGAATATTGCAGAAACATCCAAAACGTAAAAAATGAATTTTTGAACTGTATCTGTTCTCCGCTTAAGAAAGCACTAATCTTTCTGAGATGGGCTCCAATTTATTTCAACCATTCCAGCTTTCTTACCACTTCATTTTATCTAGGATGGAAATTCAGCTCTTTTCATATGCAAATGGAAATAACTGCTCTATAAGGTCTTGAAGAATCCTTTCCTTTACATTTTAACTACCTGGTCCAAGGTTCTATTTTAAGCAAAAAGAATAACTTTAGACTGCCAGCTACACAGTTAGGGAAACATTTAATTAGATTCCTTTTAATAGCTGTTTTTGAAACTACTTTAAAGTATTTCAACAACCTGTCTCTATTGCCTCAAAATGACCTTTTAGTCTGCAAGTTTTTTTTTTTATAAAATATATTCTTCTCCTTCCTTTACTCTATAAAGCAATTCAATAATGTCATGTAACTTGTTGGACTCAACTCATTTTTCTCTCTGAGTGTCTGGAAACTCCCCATCACACACAGTTGCTGGCAGTTGCAACAGTACTGACATCATTTGATTAACCACTAACGCCAAGATGTTCATCATCAGATTCCCTGGGTTGCCATCACAGGTTGCAGCACATCGTGTCCCACCTTCAGGATCAGTCTGCAGTGCAATTAGGAACACCTTGAACATTTTAAGCAGTGGTAATTTGAAAACAAGTCTCTCCTTTCACGCCAGGAGCAAATGTGTGTGATGTGTGACATCAAAAACATCTCCTGTGCCTCAGCAGCAGTTGTTTATAAAGAACCTACTTGATCTGGAAAAAGCAATGCAGGCAGAAAAGACAAGAAAAACACCTTCAGTGTTTAGTTTATAAAAGAGCTTAGTTACTGCTTGTGTCCATTTTAACCTTGTATGCTCAGACAAGATTTTTTTCTCTGTGCAATAAAATCCCAAGAAACCATAGTAGAAACCATGCCTCTCACCATAGCATATAATTAAAAACCCCCTACAAATCAGCTTAATTTCTTAAAAAAGGAAACTCTGTTTCTAGCTAAAAGCCAGTATATGAATTAGGCATAGGTTTGTTTGTAATCAACCAATATTAATTTAGAATAGTTCAACTGCCAACACTGGAATTGGAATGGTATAAAAACTTGAGTAAGGGGACTATTAAAACACATGGCTCAAATTTAAATTGAAACTCAAATAACCCTAAAGTGTTCTAGATGGTTTGGAGACTAATGAGACTTCAGTCCATGCTAAAAATAACGAGTTTTGAGGAATCGGTTTCACAGCTTCATCCTTTCCACTCTAAAAATTCATTTCAGTGGCTGTTACATAACTTAGCCTGAAATTCTGTCCTCAGTGGAAGGCAGCTGTCTTGGCTCTTTGTGGTGATGGGATTTTGCAGGGTTACCAATGGAACCCACGACATTTACGAATCAATGCTCCAGATGATCCTCCAGGTCGGTGGTTATATATAATTTTTTATTGAGTTCTTTTAAAAAAACCTGTATTCCATCTTGTCTCTAGTCAGGATCAGGATTTCAGTTGGGATTAGTGGTATAGGAGAACACTCAAGAGATGTTTCAGATGTTGGAAATGTAGTTAGTGAAAAAACAATGAAAGTGCACTAGGAGAACTATCCAAATAGCTGCACCTTTTCAAACCAAATTGATTTGCCAGGAAATGAGAATATTCCTGTGCTTAATGCTCTGCCACTTGTTGTAAAAATGTGAAAATGGTGCATGGTTACTGCTACATGTGCAGTCTGCATTACAGCAGGTAATTGTACTGTTTATCAGGGATTCTGAATTCAGGCTCCCCTGGAGAGAATTGGTTTGTGTTTGAGCTTAAATAGCTGAGTGCACACGTTCAGTTGCTGGGGAAAAATATTTCCCTCTTTTACTTTCAGTTTGGATGTACTTACATTTATGGGGCATTTTTCTTTACCCACTTGCTATAGCAATAAAAATTGAGCTTGAAAAGTTGGTTCTGTCTAATCTCAATTTATAGCTAAGGGTTGGTGTTTGTTTATTTGTTGTTTGTTTTTTTTTTCTTTTAAATGAGATAAAATGCTATTTTAAATTAGAAACTCCAGGATTTGTGTCTTTTCGCTGCTTTAAAGAATCCAATCCAGTTCCAACTTTCTCCTATGCTTGTGCTGCAAGATAAACAAGAAATCTATAGAACATTAGCTGAAAATGGAACAGTAAATGAAATAATACCTCAACAGCTGCCTTTGCTCTTTCAAATTCCTCTTCCAAGGAGTGATTTCTGGAGAGAAGAGGTGTTCCCCAACGCTGCTCCCTAGTTGATCGTGCCTAAAAAATAAAAGAATAAATCAGAAAAGGATGATAGACTCTCTGCCACATTTCTGAGTTATTTCCTCAATTGTCCAGAGCCCCAAATGGCCTTTCTCTTGGGGAAAATTAGTTGTTTCCCTACATGAATTCCTCTGAATTTTCTCACACCATAGCTAATATCACTCCTGATGGGAAACAGAGTAATCTGTCTTTTCCAGATTTTTCTTTTCACTTGGGATGCCTGAAAGATAAAGAGACATCCAAGAAAAGGCAGTGCAAGAGCTGGACTAAAAAAGGAAAGAGCTGACTATTTTATATAGGACTTTTATCTTCATTGTTCCTTCTCCTGCATTACAACTGTCTACTCTCCAGGAAGAAAACATCTCATTTCCCCTGTACATTTTGTAGTTTTCTTTCAGGTTTTCTTTCAGGATCACATTGGAGAACTAGGTTTGCCATGGATTTCACTGGAGGAACAAATCCTTTTCACAATCAGCAGCTCTCCTGTGCCTTACTATTGGTCCCATCGGAGGCACACAAAGAGTTTTTCCCTGTTCTTTTATTAAAAGCAATTTTATTATTTCATTTTTTTTTTTAACAAAAGGCACTGTACAAAACCAAACAATGTTTAGGGATGGCATAGAAAGGCACAAAGTGGCCTAATCTTGCTAAATAGAGCTCTGGCTGCTAATCCTTTCCCTCGTGTTTGTCAAGAGGTTAAACTCATTAGCCACTTGCCTGCCCATGGTCCCAACTGCATTAATTTATGTGATTATATTTCTGATGACTGTACTTGTAATATTCAATTTCAATGAGCCACACTGCTAAAAGACTAATTTTGCTCGCATCAGGCTCATTGGGCTGTATCTGCAAATGCTGGTGTGTGCTGTGCTGGGATGAAACATCCAACACGCTCCTGGGTTCTCACACACGTTGTGTCTGTGGTTGTACACATGTTTTTTTACCCAGAAAATGGCACTCATCTGTCAATCTAGCCTTAAGGTTTCTGTACTGTTCCTGAGCCGTTGGTCTCTCAGGCAGAGATTGATGAGTGAGTTGTACACTGGGTGGATGATACGCACAACAGTACAGCACAAATTCTGTGAGAAGCACAGGCTGGTGGTGGGCACTGTGAGTGTTATTCTGTGTGGGCTTCTGGACTTTGCTGTGACAGGAAGCACCGAGAGTCCACACTGAGGATCTGTTTCTGCTTTCACATCTACTGCCTCTGGTCCATGTGGTTTGCAAACTATTTTTTTCCCTTGCTGAGACCAGGAAGAGATTTCAGGTTGTTACTGAAAACATACCAAAACCCGGTCCTACACACAAACCAGTTGTTTTACTGATTAATAGAATTTGTGCAGAAGAGAGAACTGGTTCAAATCATTCATTTCTTTACATATCACACTATGGTATTTGTCACTCAACATCCACAGGATCAAACTTATGTTCTACAGAGAATAAACTGAGGTTGTCTGGAATTCATGTCCTTGAGGAAGGTGCTCATATTTAATTTAAAGTTATCAAGAGACCTTAATGATATTTCCAACTACCACTTCTTATTTTTCTCCAGTAGTTTAAAACACATGTTAGTACTCCTTATTTTCTCTGTAGAAAGATACTGATGATTTTAATAAGTTTTTAATGATAAAAGGACATTGAATAATATAAAGACATTGCAATATTAAATTATCTGATTATGAAACATCTTTTTCAGATTTCCACCTTTTTTGAGTTCGCTTTTACACTCCCTCTTTATTTTCCAGAGCCATACAGACAACCAAAATGAACCCTATATTCTAGTACCTGTCTTGCTGTTTCTCTATACTGAAATCAGGTGATCTCCTGTTTCCCTTCTACACATTTCTGTTACTCCAGTGCCACACAGGGAGCCCTCATGCTGACATTCTCATACATTCTGAGCCATTGATTCTTTTCAAACTGCCTTCCAGCATAGTGTTGTAAGTAGGGCCTGCATTCTGGCTCTGAAATGTATTGGAATACATATTTATACAGATGTCTTTGTCACCAGCTCATTTTTTCAACTCCCTTATTTACATTTTTTTCATTCCACTACTGTATCATAAAGAAATTTTCTCAGGAGTGGCTTGCATATTTATTTTCAGATCAATAATTCTGAAAATCACAGTTGCTCCTAGGAATCACAGAAGAATCCCCACATGGTTACATTTCCTAGTAAGTAACTACTGCTCTTGAGATCTAATGTTAGCCAGTCTTAATCTGTTTAATGCCTTCTCAATTCTTACTGTATGGTGCCAATTTTAAAATCAGAATATGGTGTGTTAATTCAAACGTCTTGCAGACTATCACACAGCAACATTTATCAACTTGACCTGTAATCTGATCAAAGAATTACATTTGTTTGTGTATTATAGGTGAGCAATAAAATATCTATAATGCCCAGGGGAGCATTTAAAGAGCTACAACATGAGCAAACTTAATGTACAGACAATGGAACATATTATCTCCCTCTGCAGTTTGTAATTATAAGATGAAAAATAAGCCTTCAAAAAAGCCCCAAACACTGTAGGATATCTCAGTACTAATAAAAACATAACAAGGAACTTTCCAAAATGGCAGAGAAAAAAAAGAACAGTGCCAATGCTGTTTAAGAGTTAATAATAGGTAAAGTATGATGTGCAAAAATGCTGAGAAGCAAGACAGCCACATCCAGTGAGAGCCACCATGAGAGCATATTCCAGCCTTCCAACACATTTCTCCCTTAGTAGTTCAAAGCTTGTCTTTTGGATTTTGTATTGATACAAGTTCTGGTAAACACAGTTACTTTCACTTTGAGGACCTAAATCTAACATGTCAAAGATGAGTGATGAGGTGATTGCCAGGGAAACTGCTGATGGAAAACTGCAGTAAGTTTGACAAGATGGGATATTTAGGCTATGGCAGAATGTGTTGCATATGCAAAGGTTACCTTTAAATGAGATAGATAAAACCTATAGAGGACAAAGTATGGAAAACATATGCTTTGATAAAAGCTGTAACGTGATTTCTTTTACAAGCACGGTAAGAACTCGGTCAAGATCAATGAGCCTGTTTGCTGGGAACTGACAACTCTGGCAGTCCAAGTATAAGCAGGATGAAGCTGGCAGTGAACAAACCCACTATATTTCTGAGTAAGCTACCCAGAATAAGAACTCAACCTCACTTTAGGTCATTTTTCTGCACCACTAATTAGCAGTTCAGCATTTTGTTACTTGAATGGATCATAAGTTTGAAAAAAAAAGCAGGTTATGACAAAACAAAACAAAAAAATCAAAACATGAAATATACCAAAAAAACAGATAAGAATTTTTTTCTCTGCTTCTTTTTCAAGCTGGCTTATTCAGCTTCATGGTTTTTTTATTTTGAAATATCAGTCATTTCACAAAGCTGTATGGAGCCTCAACTGACTGCTCTTAGACTGAATGAAAAATGTGGATTTTTGCTTCTGCAGTTATTCTAGTGGAAGATAAACAGGAAATAGACCATAGAAAGTAGAGATGTTATATACTAAATTTGCAACTGCTTTTACAGAGAGCCACGGTATTTTAATTCTGTGGCAGTCTACTTGATTTACATCTTGGTTGAGCACAAATATTCTGGAATTTAGATCTATTAGGCTGAGGAACAGCCTCCTAAAAATGGGTCAGAGGTACTTCAAGATAAGATAGAGAAACTATGTGAGAACACATCATCCATTTCAAGTGGATGATATTGTGCAATAGATCTTTTCCATTAATAAGAAGTATAAATCTATTGCAGAGGAAGAAAAGATATCATACATTACAACTACAGTGAGACTTTCCAGAGGGGAAAAAACCCCTCCTGCTAGTAATGTAGAGATGGTAGGGAAGTAGGCTTTTTTCCTAACAAAAACACAGAAATGGATCTGATAACTTGGTTCTATTTCTATTTTCTTCAAAGAAATGGTGCATAATTTAAGAAAACACATTTAGCATTTTAATGTCTCATTTTTCCATTTTCAAATGAGGCTATTATTTTCCATTAATTTCCAGATTTTCCATCTGACAGAAGGTTTTTGAAGTCCAGGCCTAAAAATAGCTGTGGAAGGGAAGACAATTATTTTCAACTAAAAGCTAATCCACCAAACAACTCTCTCTTACCCTGGCCAGTGGCAATGGCAGAAATCCCTCAGTTAAAAAATCAGAAGCAGGAAAGAAGATGTGTAAGCAACCTGATCTATGTGAATGCAGATCTAAATCTATGTTTGTACCTGTTTGTGCATACATACATACCAAAAAATATACAACTCTATGCAATAATTGCTTACAGCTTTAAGTAATAATTGCCACAAGGTCCTGTCCAATATACTGTGACAGTGGAGTTGGGCAAATCTACAAACCTTCTGCCCAGAACCCTCTGTACTAGAGTTACTTTTCCTGCAGGAGAAAGTCCTTTGGCCACACTGCTCTCCCACCTGTGGAGATAAACTAATAATGAACATTGGTCTAATGATTTCCTCAACCATTTTCCAATTCTGGGGATTCCTGCTTGATCAAGAGACTTTGAGAACAGATATGTTACAGGGAGAGGGAACCATTAGAAGTCTGAATTTTCAGAACTGGTTGAAGAGAAAAAAGATGATGCAGTAAATTGTTTGAAGTTTTTGTCTTTGTACAGGAGGGTCACAGTTCACTGCAGTATTAAACTCTGAATGGTTGAGGTGCTGACATATGTAAGGTATTTTCACAACATTAATTTCAAAGAGGTGTGAAGATTCAGAGGTATAAATATTTTTCTCTGATGATCCTGAAAACATCCCTTAAATAGTTGTCCCAGAATGTGAATGGTTAGTGGGACAATTTTTCCTTGCCTTTTTGTTGTCAAATCTCCTTACCTGTATTGCAGGTGCAAGTTCTAATTCTGATGTAGAATCAGAGTCCAAGGCACTCTTGACATTAGTCAGCTCAGACTGTGATCTGTTTTCTGTGGACCTAGAAACAGTGCATTTACACACTCATCACTGAACAGTAAGACACGCTGCTTTACATCTTTCAGGTTCATAAACTCACACACCAATTAATTAGGGTATTTATTTTAACTGAATTATCAAAAGGTAGTTATCAAAAGTACATGGACCCTTCTCAGTGTTCTCACTCATACACTTCTATTTCATATCCAGGCAAAACAAGGGTAGGCAATGACACAAGACTGTACCTGCAGTCAGTGTCTAAGAATCAACTACCACTATGCAGGAATTCACCTTGGCATATGTGCATTTTCATGCCACAGTATCCTAATATTCTTTCTTCCTAGAAAATGAAACCCTGTAGACCAAAATCAAGGCAACCAAGCAAAACTTGTGTCAAGCTCTAAGTTAATGAAATGCCCAGAAAAAGGGGCAGGTTAAAATACAGGATAAGCATCATTTGGTCAGAAACCTTCTTCTAGTGCATGAAAATGCTGATTATGGCCATGCATAATGTGGAGAATGAGTGTTACTTACACATGAGGAAGGCAGCAGAATTAATCTGCATTAACTGTTCCCAAAGGCAAAGTCCAATTCTTCCCTCATTTGCAACCCCTCAAGTTTAGTTAACTGTGTGAAAGGGGTAGCTCTTGGCTTGGATATTTTATGTTGCCTCTTTCAGTTGTGTCCTTGAGGCAGCAAAGCCAAAATTCAGTGGATATCCAGTGAGTGTCAGATCACTGCACTGCCAAGGTTCCTGTTTTATTCATTTTACTCACGTTTGTAGCTGGATTTGGATCATTGCATGTCTCTGTAGAATTCTAACCACCATTTATTTAGTAATTGCACCTGCTGCTTTTCACAACACTAAAAATTGCTGGCAAAATATCATTTTAGTGTGTACTTCCTTATGATACATTGTCCAAAATGTGTGCCTGAGCACATTTAGTGTAATCATAACAGGTTTAATGATATGACTTGTCATCAAGAAGGCATTTCTGTGAATTAAGAAAGCTGGAATGGAAATATTTTTGTAAGGAAAGCAAAAAGCTGTACCATAAAATCTCCTTTGATGGAGCTCTAGATGATGATGATGATATTCGCTCTGCAGAAGGGTGGACCTTGCTACTCCTGTCTCCATGAAAACTGACATCATCCCATTTCTCTGGATGATGAATATCAACTGGAAAATAAGAAAAGAAAATATGAATCTTTTAAAGAAACTACAACAGAAAATTTTATCTCGTCTGCTAAATGTACGTTATAGAGAAAATGGTGCCACCAAAGACTATACTTTAGTTAAAGTCCAATATACAGAAATGTTTTGCACCTTTCTATTTGATATGCTGTGAAAATATTTGGAAATTCACAACATTTTTTCAAAATCTATTAGCATTCATGGTCAGAATGTCAGTGTAACTCTTGATTTAAAATCAGTGATTTGTATGTAATTTAGTTTAATTGTAAAAATAAAAACTTTTTTAGAGACTACCATTTAAAAATGTAGGCAACCGATATTATTCAGTCATGTGTCAGACTCACTGTGCAAAAATCAGATGTTCAACTCCTGTTTGAAGAAAAAGTCTCTAAAAGAATTTCTGTGCTGATGAATGGAAAGTTTGCTGCCTCGGTATAAATTACATTTACCTTGCAAATTCTCAGTTGCAGGGCAAGTAATTTAGTTTGGACAGAACTAAATTAAATTCACCTTTTCCAAAGCTTGTCGATAGATCAGGCTTGGCAGGATATTGAGTTGTTTTGGGGATTTTTTTTCAAGCTGTATAAATATATCTCTCTTGTCAAGAATGGAATTTTTTCCCTCGTATGCATAGATACAGCAGTATTTACAAATGTATTATGTATTTCTGACATCTGCAGTTCTGAAAAGGCCGTCTATGTATGGGCTTCCTCTCATTTTTGTCCTTTCCCAATTTCTCATCATACCCCTATAGAATTTTCCACCATTTGACTCACCCTGACTAAATTCTTTTATTCAAAGAAACCTTTCAGAGCTTTATCAGCACACTTGGTGACAATTTAAAACGTATAATAGCGAAATGTAAAAGGTAAACTTGAAACTGTTTCAAGTTTAAAGTGCTTCAATTAGTTTATAAAGTGTAGCAAAGGTTACACACTCTGCTAGAACGTGGTGCAACAAAAAAAATCTGGTGTTGCTCATAATTTTGTGATAATAGTCAGGAGAAACCTGTGCTAAGAAAGGCTATGGAGCACTAATAAAATAGCTACACTCTTACCAAAATCTAATGAAGACTTGTCTGCAACTCTGGCAGCCTGGACTTTCTGCTCAGAATCCACACTGATAAGGTCAGGATTGTCTGTCTTCTTTCTGTGAGTTGAAGCTTTTAAGCCTTCACTTCTTGATGGATTCTCTGATTTCTTTGCTTTGTTTTGGGTTTGTAAGACAGGTTCACTAAGATCCAAGAGATCCAGACCTGTTGATAATACTTAGAGACAAAATGTTAAAATTTAATGTTGTTTTAATTCAAAAAGATCCCTTTTAAAGATTTGCTTAAATTGGGAAAAAACATTTCTGACATGTTTGCATTTTACTAGAGTAGGTGTGTGTTTCCTGGCTAAAGGTGATGACCAGCACATTAAAATATGGCTGGGAATTTCAGGTGCTTAACTAATGCAGTTTAATGGATTTGCATAAAAGGCTTCTCATCTGAAAATCTTAAAGGCATCCAAAGTCTTAAGGCTGTGGCCTTCACAGATTTTCCTCTGTTGTGAGGGTTCCCTGTACAATTGAGCTTTGAGATAAGATTTGTTTTGATTTATGATTTATCAAGTACTGGTAACAGCTGCTTAGGGCATTACTGTTGTACCACGTGCCATTTTGGAAAATGCAGGAGTAGATATCTTCCTGGGTTCTTAATTTAAAAGTTGCTTAAAGAATTACATTTGAAAATCCTTAGCATGTAAAATATAGGAAAACTGTCTTTTTATCATTGTTTTACAGGACAGGTGTTTTTTGACAAATCAATTTGTATTATCTCTTGCAGTGCTTTATCTGTGTTCTTGGCAAATGACTGAATTTCATCAATCTTCATAGAATAAGAAATTTTTATTTTGCTATTACATAAATCTAACACCCCTCCACCCCTCAATCTGGTAGATATTCTAGGCAGCTATACAATATATAGATACTTTTTTACAACAAACACCATTCTTAAACAACCCGAAATAGTTGTATTCATCCCTGTAATATCTCTAGCGATATATAAAAGGAAAAAACATTATTTACAATTGCTGTTTAACTTAGTGTTCCAGTTTTTGTTATTAGAACTTGCATACTGCTTTAGACACATATTAATTACAAGTGAAGATAATCACCCAGCTGTCAATAACTCGTTTAATAATTTACATGTCTATAGATTTTAATTAAATGGCTTCTAACAAGCAGAGTCATTTTAAGAGATAGCAAGAGAACACAATGGTGTTACACTGATTTTATTGAATCTCTGCTGATCTGCTCACCTGCATCGATTACCTTTGCACAAATACTGAGTGGGAAGGGACCAATTTCTGAAAATACCTCCAAAGGACAATATACATCAAATAGAATTCAGTATCATTCAAAAGGCTTTCAGAATTCACTCTTACTTTTTCTCTTCTCTACTATCTCATTGAACACAACGGAACTGAGAAATATATTAGATCCTTTCACTATTAAGGTGCCCAAACTCAGCCTGAACAAATTGTTTTGATATCTCTTCCCTTTTCCTTTGCTATCTCATCCTAGTTTTTATTTTAAAGTCTTTCTAGAGTAAGGAATGGGTTTGGTTAAAATCAGACTAAATGTGGCTTTCTCATTGGTTAACTTTTGCAAAAAAAATTATTGAGAATTGGTCAAACTAATACATACTTTTGTGAGACTTAAACAAAGTGCTTTTCTTTCAGCCCCAAAGATCTACTGGAACTGATGTGGTTTGAATCTCATCATATTGGCCCTCAAATGTAATGAACAAAGTTTTTTTCTATGAATAGTTCAGGCAATTATAATTTAATACTGGCTTGTGATTTTGTGCGAATAGTAAAAAATCAAGAAACTACTTGAAAAAATGTGCTCTAAATAAAATTAAATTATTTCTATCTACTGAGGGGTAGTAAAGAATGTTTTTTACCTGCAGTGTTTGATGTTACAGGCCTTGCCACAGCTTCTGGTTTAGTTTCACAGAGAAAGTCATCAATGGAGGGGCTCAGGAGGGGTCTGCTTTCCTGTTGCTCATTCACCAGCTAACAATAAAGAACCCTGGGTCACAGAATGTTCTTGGCATGAAGAATTAAAAGAAATAAAACACATCTCACAACATCACGTGCTTTATTTTTGACTGTGAGAGTAAAGTGTTGCAATTAGATGATGCACAAATATATCTGGCTTTAAAATAAAAAGAGTCCAATTGCTCTTTTGGGGCAAAAATTACATTCCAGTTTTACAAATCACACAAAAATAAAGCAGCAAGATGATTTTTCCTTAGCAGTTATTGCATACTATTGCTTATAGGGCTAAAGTATACAAGGCCTGATGCAACTCCCTTCAAATCCATGGTGAAGTTGGCCTTCTCTATCACCAGGAGACTAAACAGGGCTTTTTTAGTATTTGGAAGTGGCCTTTTTTTTTCCCCACCAGTAACATGCTTCCCCACAGAACTCCCACAATAGCATTTCATCCAGCAAATATGCATTAGCCCATTAAACAATAACCCGCTGAGACAGAAAACACTTCTCTGCCATACAACGACATGTGAATGACAGTGGATGGAGCCTGGTGAGTGTATGAACTTCCTACACGAGCTCTGACTTTGAGAAGACTTGCAGTACAATTTTTATTTATGAGCAGTTTTCCAGTTTTGTTCTGGCTGCATGGATGCATTGGTTTTCTGCTACCTAAAAGGAGTCTCTGCATTACAAGCTATTTAATGTACTAGGGATTAAAAAGAAAAAACAGTAGAAGTCTCAGAAACAAAAGTCTCCTCTTTTCCATCTATCTCTGACTGGAGGATCAAGACCTAAGCTGAGTTGGAGGGATGCCTGATGGTGTGTCCTGCATTTACTGTAAATTAATAATGGAAATAGTGGAAATATGTTTTCCCTCTGTTGCTTTTGCCTGGAGTACTTTCAGGTTTATTTTTCCCTCTCCTCTCTCCTTCTTGCCATTCTCTTCTCACTCTCTTTACACTGTTGAATTTTTGGAATTTTCTCTTAGATATATTTGAATTTTAAAATTTAGGATGGACTAAAACTGGCAAAAAAAGGTATTTACTCATCCTCATGTTTGTTAATTACCGACATTGAGCTCAGGATTACCTCTAAGCTTAGATTCACTGCTGTTCAGTACCTGATTTCTGTATTGCAAAGTTGCAACAAAATACCCGAGCTATTGAAATAAAAAGTCCACTATTTTAATGGATCAAACATTTAAGCTGGTACCTAATGCTGACTAACTCTGTACATGCACAAATGCATTTGCCCAGGACCTTGAAACACCAATTTACATGAGTGCCATGAGAGACAGGTGAGTGATTGCCTGCCCAACTGTGGGCAGCACAACGTGCAAATATGGGCACTTCATTTAGAAATCTGGCAATGATGCTGTCCCAAACTCTACATCTATGTGTACTTAACCCAGACTGCAGATGCACCTCACCAGTGACTTAATCATGGGGGGTTCTAACTCGAAAGCACCCAAGATCACTCACTGCAGAAGTGAAAAATAGAAAATCTTAAGACCAGATGGAAAGGCAATTTATTGCCCAAAACTCGTTGTGGACATAAGAGGATAAACTCTGGGAAGACCAGCAATAATAATAAGAATCAGTGTTGTGGCAGGGAAGGAGACAAGAATCAATAAAGATCTGAATTTTTCCAAGATCCAACTGAAGTATGAAGTTTGATAAATAATTTTTTTTATTTTCAAAGATGGTTATCACGTCCTTAGAAATTTCTTTTTTACAGTGGTTGTAAGAAGAAGACCCACTAAGCAACAGGCATTCATTAGTTTGATACCAGCAGTGCATTGTTCAAAACCCTTGATAAAATTCTACCAACAAACTGAAAGAAGATTGGTGGTAATATCAGCTTCATCAGCAAACAGCAAGATTTAATTTTTACTAACTTGTCTCTTTTTTCTGCTGCATTTACAGCAGTTTTATTTAGCTATAAAACAAATAGGTTCCTCTTCTCTGACTCTCTGACTTTGTGAACAAATACACTAAATTCATCAGACACGGGCCACCCAAATGATCAGCAGAATAAAACCCACATTTTAGAGGTGACTAAAAGAGTTTGACTTGCTCAGGCTAACAAAATGAAGATTGAGTAGGCATATAGTTATTCTTCGTGTATACATAAAGGGAGAGTGGTTAGATGACATTGGAGGAGGAAAGTTATTTCAGCTATAGAGAAAGGCTGGAATGATAACAAAGAGCTCTAAACCGACCATGAATAGATCTGGTCTGGGAATTAAAAGAACCTATCACAGCAGTGAACTATATGAACAATATTTTTTTTAGGGTAGAGGGACAAAGTGACTTTTGCCAAGCCTTGTACATAACTCTTTATGGTGTGATTGCTTTTGAGAAGTGGACCGTGACCCAGAGGATCCCTCCTAGTCCTGTGTCCTGTGCACCCATGACTAAGGACTAGAAGCTGTATGAGTGTCTAATTAAAGGGCTTATTCCTATGAAAAATAATCTGTTTTCAACTGAAACATGTGGGTCAAAACAGACAGCAAGTACATAATCATGTCTACTAAATCTCAATAAACACAAACTATGTATGTATAGCAATAGAACAAATTGGAAAAATACTATTTTGTTGTGAGGCAGACATTTAATGATGAATTAAGATCTTAATAAGTTAGAGTGTCATGAGCTGATATTTTTTGTGCAGGTAAGTGGGCAGTGGGGTAGGTTTCTGACATTACTCTGTAATCAATGCCACTTGTTAAGCCCTTGGTCTCACACTTGGAATTTCATTTTGCTGCCTCATATATTGTACCAAATTTATCCCTAGTTTAACTTTGCTCAAGTTATTAGAGTTTTATCAGGCATGAATTTCGAGTAGTGCTATAAAAGATTCATGAGATGAAAACTATGATCTATATTAAACTAATAATTTATGGTTCTTGAGCACCTTTCGGGTGAAAATCACAGAATGCTTTAAAACATTCATGAATCAAGCTTGGCACCACTGCAGAGCTGAGAAGTATTATCTCTGCGTTGCAGATGAGGGAAGTAAAGTGAAATTAAGGAAGTCACCCAACGTCGCCAGGTGCTGGAGGAAGCAGCGCTGGGAACAGGAGCCGGGCAGACGTTGCCACACTGGATTTATGTGCACAATATCTGTACACACAGCAAGCAGCATAGACTCAGCCTGGAGAACTGTGGGTTTCTGAGTACTGATTTAGCCAGTGAGAGACATAAATTCTCATAATGTCTCCAAGAATTTAAATTTTCTTTATAAAGTTGATTTTAATTAAAGAAGAAGCCCACACACTCCTCTGACTGAGGGATTTCTAAAATCTGTGGAGGGTGGTGTTCTCTACTATCAGTACATCGGAAGAGACTCATTCATAGTATAAAATACTCCTCCTAAATCTGAATGAGTTTTCTGGGACTGATTCTGCTGTTGAACAACACAACAGGAAAAGATGGTGTTTTCACCCCAGTACTGCTACTGGAATTTTTTGTCCCTTAAAGCAGATATGCGGGGCTTTTGGGTGCTTTGGGAGAGATACTGGGAGAGTCAAAAGTGTCATCTGATGATATTTGATACATTGCTTCAATATATTGAAAGCAGTGCTTTGATATACTCAAAGCAAGGATTATTTAACAGCAACTGTAAGGTGTGGTCCTTCCATCCCATTTTATACACCCTCTTACTGCATTCCTGGTCTTTATCTGTTTGCAGTGCACACAGCATGATGGTTTGTTTCTTTTCTTTTTTTTAAAGTATTAGTAGGGCATAACATAACACTAATGTTTAAGATAAATTATTTCAACTTTAAACTGGGGGGGTTCCAGTCAGGCATAGGCAGCTAATTAGCACCTATGTTTTGAGCACATAGTGAACTAGTTCTCTTAAATTAAGTGCCAAGATTCCCTCCATATTCAATAGGGAGAGAAAAATGCCTAGAAAAGCAACTCCAGAGGGAGGTTCTGCCTGCCTAATTTAGGTTGTCCCTCAGGAGGCTCTCAAAGGCACCTCACTTTCCCCCTGGCTATATATGGAATTTATCTTAGAAGGACTGGTTCAAGAGGCACCCAAAATTTAGCTACTCAAGTTTGTTGGATTGTATTTTGTATGGGATCCACTTTGTCACCTGAGGCTGATTGAATTACTCATGGCAGTAATTTAGGAAGCCCCAAACTACTGCTAGGATAAGAGGAAACAAGTCAATTGGTTTCCGCTACCTGACTCTTTCTAAAAACTGATAAATGGGAACCACAACCAGAAACTGAGGTTATTGTTCTCTGGAGTGTAACTGGAAGTACAGCTGAGTCCCTGTATCATTATCTTGGCAGAATGAGAACTGGAAGACCTTGTTTTCTGCTTGCAGAGGGAGGAAAGGGAGCTCCTGGAAAAAAATCACTAGTCTCATGATAAAAGTTCAAATTGCACGAGTTATATTTTTCTTCACTTGCTTTTCTAGTAGGTTTATAAACATCTCACAATCAAAATTACTGCCTCACGCAGTTTATTTACTCTTGTATAGTGTGATCGCTACTCAGCTTTTTGCATCATCCTTGTGCCAGGGTGATACTAATTTTTTCTCTGTCAGTGTGAATTTATGCCCCAATGACACTGATGTGAGAGCCAAATATTTGGTTTACACAAGAACAGAGAATCAATTCCCATGGCACGTGGTATAACTGACTTTGGCCCTGTGGGAATCGTGGGAAGCTCCAAAACTGAGACAAACTCTTTGTACTCTCTTGCAAGGAGCACTGGTGTTGCTGCCTCTCTGAAGACTAGTCTAGCTCAGCAGATGATAACCAGTGCTCTGTTGCAAAGTAGTAGGAAGTGTGTGGAGTGGCCTGTGAATGACAGGTGACAATATCTTACCTGAAATCACACAGGCCCAGTCACCCCAGGGGCTTCATGCAAACAGATGTCAGGGTTTGTGTGAAGTCAGAGAAGCTGTGAGACGGTTGCTGTAGACATTGCAATGGATCTTTAAATTCACATGCCAGCAGATATTTAAAATCTGTGCTTGATGTCTGAGTCAGTAAATA